GTTGATAAACTAGTTGCAGAGGGTACTGGAGAGGCAATTAGTTGTCGAAGTAATTGTCAGTCTTTTTGAATTTGTATTAAATTTTGGTCAAGAATTTCTATGTATATTTTTAATGAAATAGATTAATCAACAGGTTGTTGAAAGCAATTTGTTTCAAAAGAAATACCTTGGACATACAAATATATTACGTCTTATAGAAAAGATATAGTCCTATATCGAAGACTAGAAAATAACTGATAAATTATCTTAGTTAATCAAATATTATGATGTTTTGATACTGGGGTATTACTTAATTGTTTAAATAGATTGAAAGTAATAATTGATCTTGCTGTGTAAGTTTCAGCCCGATATTTAAAATGAAATCAATTTCAAAAATTTTTAAAAGTGTATTAAATAGAGGGGTAAATAACACTAACTGCAAGTATAGTCTTTATTAAGAAGGGAATTTGAATAATGTCTCATAATATGTTCTACTATATTTCTTTCAATTGCTTCAAAATTCATACACCTCACTATTTCATCAGCAATTCATTATATATGAAATTATCTTTATTTCTTAATTCTCTTTTCTCAAATTTTTATACACCTCGTTAAATCTGTTAGCAGTCCATTATATATAAAGTTAATAGTATCCTAGCAGGAATTACTACTTGTTAACATTACTCTTTCTGTCAAATAAGTTAATTATGATTTGAAGTCAGGGAGATAATAGCTATAACTTAAATCCAATTAACTTAACACGCTATTTATTAGAGAGTTTATTTAGTTAACAAGAATAAAATTATAAGTTTTATGTTTGCAAAATGTTAAGAGTGTTTATTATTGTTATTGAATACAATGTTTAGAACTTGTTAGAATCTGTCCTTTTTCTAAGGTATTTTCATGCTCTTTATATAAGAAACTTATAATTAAAGAAAATTTATAGTAAATATGATACTACTGATAATAATAACAAAGTTAACAGATATGCTAAGTATGTTAAATATATTATAAACGATAATAATGATATAAATAATAAAAATATAATAAATAATATATGTGTCTTATTTGACAGATATGGCAGATTTGGCAGATATGGCATATTTGGCATATATGTCATATTTGATAGGTCTGTTGGTTTCTGCCAGTTTTAACAATTAATTTTAATAAAAATTTTTTTCTGTAATTAAGTAAAAAGTCAAACTGACTCACAATTAGTAGTAATTAGTCAATAACTATTTATAGTAATACATATATATATAGTACATAATCGTATTAAACTTATCTTTCGCTATTTTGAGTACTTTCACTATTTTTGATATAATTTAAAAATGAGAAATTTTCGTTATCTGCTAGTCTAATGTTAAATCTAAAAAGGTCTTTATTTATATTACTGAAAAATTAATTATTTGATCTTTTTTTTAACTCTTGATTTTCGCATTTGCAGAAATATGGCACAGATGATTTTAAATTATTTTATCCTAGGTGACACTCATAGGTTTTCGCTTGTTCTTAGAAAAAAATTACTATTAAGAACGATACCATCCTTTTTGAAAATTTTAATATTGCACTTCTTATAGACTATATTTGAGAAAAGAAAAAGGATATTATTAATAGATATAACATAAACCTTTGGAAGGTTGAAATTAAAGAAACTGATAAAAATATAGAAAAACTTAAAAATACTGAAATTAACATTAGAAGAGAATTCAAAGGTGAGAGGTTGTCTACAACTAAATTAACTAAGAATATTTTCTCAGTTGAATACTGGATGAACGTATTCACATCCTTGTGCAAATGCCTTCGCTTGCCACCTCTAGTAAGTATCTCCTAATGGTTTACCTCTTTCAAATAAGTCACAGATCTTTTTATTAATTAGCTTGTTTCTCAGTTTCCATTTTTTCCATTTTCTTACAAAAAACTACCAATGAAAAAAAAGCACCTTTGGAAAATAGATCCTAAAGGAATATTTGTTATTCAAAGTAAAAATGAGGTTCAACAGGTCCTTGTGTCAGAAATAGAGTTCCAAAGAATGTGCATGTATCATCAATTATATGTAAATAAAACGTGTTAGTTAACTTGACTTCGATTAAATAATAGCTAATATTTCATATCATAGTCTCAAAAATTTGATAAATCAATATTTTTCTCAATGGTTGAATCTTTCTACTTGGTTCAATATAATCTCTTTGAGAATTTGTACATATAAGATCATCTATCAAACATTTTTGTCAATAATAAAGCAGAGAAATGAGATGAGAACTTACCTTCAATCCCAATCATCAGGCTTGACTTTTCTTTGTTAACATCAGACAAAGGATCAGAAATGTTAGAAAAGGACTTGATTTGAGTATTACAATCAATTGGAGAGCAATATGACATTGACATTATGAATGATAATATTAAATGTATTACTTTTAAATTAATTAAGTCACTAGCTGATAATAATGAAAATAAATATGAATAAGTGGTAATTCTCATAGATGAATATGATTTACCACTGTTAAATATTATTAGTATCATGAAAGAAAGCACAAAAATTGCAAACTACAATCATAGCGTACTAAAGAGTTTTTTGAAGTAATTAAAGCACTATAAAGTAAAGTTAAATTTCTTCTCATTATAGATATAACAATATTTGTATATTTAGATTTATTTTTAGAATTAAATAATCTTAAGGACGTGACATTAAGTAATGAATTATCTGAAGTATATAATTTTATAAGCAATGAGATAACAAAAGTATTTAGAAATAAACTATTAAATTTTTGCAAATCAGATCACTATAATAATATGCAAAATGTTATAAATAAACTTCAGAAAAAATACAATGGTTATTCTTGGAACGGTAATATTAAAATGTATAACCCATATAGCATTTGCAGTTTTTTTGAAAATTTTGAATATAAAAACTTTTAGATTCAAAAAGGAAAAACCAAATTTTTTGCTAGATTGATTGGTATAGAACATGTCAAAAATATCATAAATCAAATCATGATAAAGAAGAGATTAGTTATATCTGTTGATATTAATAATATACAAAAATCATCTGACCTTCCTGCTTCATTAATATTTCAAATTGGCTATTTAACTATCAAATAACAGAAAATAGATGATGATGATAAACAGTGTTTAGTTTTCAAAATTCTAAATGCTGAAGTGAGAGAGTCTCTGATTAGCGAACTCTAGGCTTGTTTATATGATACTTCAATAGAAACTGCATGCAAACGAATTTATAAACTAATAAGACTTCTTAAAAATGATAAATTTATTAAATTTATGAGAGCATTTAATGATGATTTAGCATCTATTCCATATAATGAAAGTCAACATGCAAAAGATTATGAGAGTTATTACCATTCGCATATCCATATGTTAGTGCGTTATATTAGATTGCCATTTTAGAGTAAGGATGCTATGAGTCAAGACAGAACTGATAAGTGGATAATGATAAATATGTCTGTTTACTTCTTGAATACAAGCACTACATTCCATTAAAAACATCAAATGATCAAGTAATCAGGAACTTAATACAAGAGTCAATAGAACAAATATTTAAAAATAAATATTATGCTTACCATATGGAATTTCATGACAAGTCCCTATATGCTGTTGGATGTGTTTTTTCAACAGGAACTCAAAAAATATGTGGAGTTGGAATTCAAGAATTTACTTACAGGTTGAATAAGCTTGAAAAAATGGAATTACAAAATTTCTTAGATGAATTTTCATAACGGTCTATAAATATGTCCCTTACACTGTTTCTACTATAAGATTTTTTCTAAAATTATAATATTTTATAGTTCGCGAATATTTTGTGATAACAAGAAGTTTAATTTTATAATAAAAAAATAAAATAAATTTCAATAAGTTACGCTAAATACCAAATGTTTATCAATTAATAAGAAATCGGAAATGAACATTATTTAATGAAAACATCTTTGTAAAGATGAAAAAAATTTATTATAAAAATTTGTTGCGTTTATACATTGACTAATCTAATAAAGTCAAGAACTTATTTTATAAAACTTTTTTTAATTTAGTGATACATCTTAATTTATGTGATACATTTTAATTTAATGTTTTATTTTAAAGTTACAAAGTCATTATTTGTGAATTGTAGACGCTTCGGACGTTCCACTTCATAGTTACTAAACAGAGATGATAATTTTGCGATCCATTCGAAATCAAGTCCGATTTTTCCTCGATCCAACCCGTGGCGATCATCAACCGGATAATCTTTGCCGAAATCATTTCCCATAAGGATCATTAATCATGGATTCCGACCGATACTGTGCTTTAAAACGGCTTGTAAATTCTAAAATTCCTCCCCCTACACTTGGAGAATCGTCAATAAAGGAGTATTTAAGAAGTTAAACTTTATATTACATATTTAGTTATGGCTTAAAACTAAAAGCAAAGAGAACATTCCAGTGACTAGCGAAGTTTTGCCTATAGATCATCTTGCGACATACTTAGTCCGTCATCAACCGGAAACGAATATTTTCTCAACCAACAAAAACCTCTAATTTTCCCCGAAAATAATGTTTATTTGTGGTGCAGGGCTTTCCTATGAAGGGCTGAGGACATTGCAATTCCGAGGTCGTCAGGCGTAGTGCTACTTCCATATAGCATGATTATTTGTATTGTATTAAATCTATACAGTATAATTTATTATTTTGATAAATATCAGAAATTTGCATTAATCAAATTGATCCTTCCACGATTATTTCAAATTGTAAAAATGGGTTTTCATTGTTAGAGCTGCGACCCGTTACCCGTTTGCTCGGATACAACTCGATCTACCCGGATATTCATGAATATCCGGGTTGTAAAATAAAAACGGGTAATATCCGTTTTGTATCCGTTTTATAATAATCCGGATCGGATATTGACACGGGTAATTGATTATTAAAGTTATAAACAAATAAATAAATCTTCATAACTTAAGTGTGACAAATAATGATCTTAGTAATGTAGTTCAGTTCGGCTGCTGCACAAAGGCAAAATGTTGATCAACCACCCGCAAAAAAAAGCTGATTATTAAGCCACGATCTAGCTGGGTTTAGAATTATTTCGATATTGTTAATGATAAAGGGTGTATACACTCAACGCAAAGTTATTGATGGTGATGAAGTAGAATGTGGAGTAAGATTCTTCACACTGGATCAACCGGAAATTTAATCAAACTTGCACGAAAAATATTCAAATATATGTTTAAACAAGTAAAATTACAACTATTGTCAAATCTGCTAATTCTACTGAACACCTACTAAAGTACAATCACGCTATCATCAGGAAATTTTAGTTATATTTTAGAAGATATACAACCTAATAGCTGTGTAAAAAATCTGATTTTAACAAACTGCTTAATTTTTTTGACCCACATGTTTCATATAAAATATCACTTGTATCCGGATCTACCCATATATTCATGTAAAAGGGTAAAAACCGGGTAATACCCGTTAAGGAATCGGGTAACCTTTTTTTTAATTTGGATACTAAAATTCTGACGGGTCGCAGCTCTATAGTGTCGCAAAAAAAACCACCTGCAGTCAAGTCCATCATCATACGTGAAAATGTTTTTTTTTTCTGTTACCGTCATTATTTTTCTTGGGTATACAGTATATAAAGGACAAATAATGCTATCAAAATTGCTACCACTTACGATAGGTACAAACCTTTCTTAAGGAAACTGTCAATATGAAACTAAATGTTATTAGCACTTTGCTCCTTTTCTCAATTATTATGAGCAGGATTAATGCTGCATTTCTGAGTTGTCCTGAAATTAACTCTGAAGGTCATTATACATGCTGTAGACAATGTATTAATAACTATGTAAATTGTCGGGCAAATGAAGTTGCCTCAGCTGCCGTAGGTGGTGGTGATTTTGATTGCTGTTGGTATCTGTAAGTAATTTGCAATTCCAGAAGTAGAACCATTTGCTTTACAGAGGAATATAATGAATTATTTCTATTTAGGTGTTTCGGATGTTCGGATCATTCGGGTAAGTACAGATTTTTCTTTTTTAGCAGAAAATTATTTACTTCCCTGAATAACAAATGATTGCCTAATATGTGATAGCCTTGGCGCCTACATGTTAACCTGAAGAGAATTCTTGCCCGCAATACTTATTTTTATTTGTATATCAGAAATGTATGCTCACTAAATTTTACAGCCTTTTAAATATTTAAAATTATGTAGCGATAGTTTCTTTTTATTCGATCATATAACATTTTATAATTTATAATCGTGCGTGTTATAATTTTCCAAGTTAAAAGTGTACAGTTGACATACTATTTTATTACTGAACCTTATTTATCACTTTAGATCTGATGGTTTATCTTATATGAAGTCTTTATTCATTGTAAAAGTAATAAAATGATAACTTTTTTATGAATTTTTTGTTATGAATCTTTGGAATGTTTATAATCAATAGTTGTAAAGTTAATGAATTAAACAAACATGTAACCCTCTACGGAATTCCAATGTTGGGGTGTTCCATCAACTATGTAAATCAAAACATATGAACGTATCATAAAAATTTATTTTTTTTTTTTTCGTTTTAAGCTATTTTATACTCTAATTTAAATTATTTTATAATACTACTGTAAATTCCTTATTAAAATTGTTATATTTTCTAAAATAAATTTGGATTCTTTCTTGACATTCTCATCTTAAATTCATGAAAATATTTAAAATATCACATACTTTCAAGTGACAGGTCTTCTTTTTCAAAAAAAAAAAATTATTTACATTTTAATATTAAAAAAAAAACTTTTTTTCAAGAAAGCAGACTGTCACGTTATTTTTTAATCAATTTTATATCCATTTAGGGTTTAAAACGCATTATTTATTTTTAAAAATTTAGAATTATTTACCTGAAAATGCGCAGATTTCAAGCTATGCTCGTTAATTTAAAAAAACTCGTGAAGTAAAAGCTAAAAAGATAAAAACAAAGAAAATTTTAGATTTGAAATAATTGTAAATATAATTACGCAGGATGCTAAATAATTGGATGCAGAGAGAGCTATAGTAGCAGATGAATTATTTGAAAATTTTTTTTTTTTAAAAAGTTTTGATTTTTATAAATGAGAAATTTTCGAAAAGTTCGGCATATTTAAAAGCTTTATATAAAATGATTAATATAAATGTGATTTGGAGATAAAATATATTATTAAAAAAGCACATTTATAATTACCATCCCGGATGATTTTTATTAAGCACTATTCTAGTATATATATTATGTAATTAATATATTAAAAATTTACATCATATTATACAAATGCAATTAAATTTAACTAGCTATTCAAATGCAATCAACAAAGGTACTAAGCAAGAATATTCTCTTTATTTGGACAATATAGATAAATACATCCATTTTCTTTACATTTTTTACATGGTAAAGTACAACTCCTTCAATTATGTTCATTTTTAAGACGATTTTAGCATGTATAACCATCATTAGAATGATCTTTAACCTTAGAACCTTTTGAACTAGTTTCCATACATGATTTAATATTTTAGTAGGTCTTACTTTTGCATTTGCTTGCAATTAAAACCATTTTCTGATTTTAATTGTTTGCAGAATTAGTATTAGATTGCTTCACCTGTTGAAATAATCTTGTAAAGTAGTTGCAATATGTGTTAGTTTATATTCAACTACCAATAATGCTAATTTTCATCTTAATGCAACATACAGTCAACTCTTGTTATAACGAACTCTATGTCCTAGACCTCAACTTCGCTATAAGACTATATAGTGAAGATTTTAAGAGATTTGATTGGCCAATTCGCTATAACAAGAATATTTTTATTATATTTGTTCAAAAAATTCGTTATATCAAGAGTTCGCTATATCAAGAGTTGACTGTATTTACCATGTATTTATTGTCTGTAATTATATGCTTAATTTCAAAATCTTGATTTTAAAGATGATTCTTATAATTACTTACAAATTAAATTGCAACTATTTTTTAATTATAGTGATCATCTTTATTTAATTTAAACAATCTTATCTAAAATTTTGAACCTTATACATAGAAGTTATAAATAAATTTTTAGTATACTCTATTCATATATAAGTCATAGATTAGCAAAAGAAACCTCTGAGAACCTTTGTTAACTTTTTTTAATTTATATAAGTGAGATTGCTTAATATATAATAATCTATTTTTAATTATACAAGTATAATAAATTACCAAAATATTCAAATAAAAGTCTTTTTTAAAAAAAAAATTAATAATCTAAAATTAGAATGATATACACTTTAATATTTAAGGAGATTAAAATTTTTTATTGATTTTTATTTATAATAAGGGATAAGTAATTAATATATCAACAAATTTTTTATATAATATTTTTAATGTATTAATGATAAAAGTTTAAATAATAATATAGTAACCAGAGTTATAGAATTAAATTCTTATTTTTTAAAATATCAAATAAAAGAATTTACCTTCTACTTTTTTTTAAACAAATATTTTTTTCAACAAATATCTTTTAAACAAAAAATGCTAATACTTTTAAATATTAGATAAATCTTTAAATTTAAGCTTTAAATATAATATAAATCATAATCAAACTATTTATTTTCTCAATTATAAAATAACACAATTAGTTTTATTTTTAATAGATTTATTTACTATTTATTCAACATTATCTATTATATTCATTTTAATTTTTTAAAAAAGTATTTTAATATAATAAAATATCTATTTAATAAAAACTTTATATATTTTATAGGTATATAGTTATTTTTATATTACAATTAAATACAATTATATTAACTTATTTCAAATTAGATTTTGAGATGTATAAAGATTTTACAAATATTATTAACATTTCAAGTTTAACTACAGTCAACTCTTGATATAGCAAACTCTTGATATAATGAATTTTTTGAACAAATATAATAAAAATATTCTTGTTATAGTGAATTGGCCAATCAAATCTCTTAAAATCTTTACTATAGCCTTATAGCAAAGTTGAGGTCTAGGACATAGAGTTCGTTATAACAAGAGTTGACT